TATGAGTTAATAAAGTTAATAAGAGTTTGCCAAATAGAGAAGTATAGGGTATAAGTATAAGAAAGTTTAGAGGCTGATAAGTAGATACAGTGATATTTGGAGATAACAGATTATGAGTCTGTAAAGATGTGAACAGAACAGTTTCTGGGAGCAGTAATAATTGCTGAAAGGATAGCAAGAATTTCAGCTTTAAAAGAGCATGACCAAAGTTTAACTTATGCCTGAAAAGAGTGAATAGTTGTAGAATTATCAACTTGAACCCATTCTATGCCTATAGAGCATTGAGAAGTACCAAGCTCAATAACAGAACTATTAGTATAAAATGAGATAGTAGATAGATTATGGTTAGAATTAGCAATAGACTGTAAGTTGTCAGTAAGTTGGCATGATTGAAAGATACAAGGTAATTGTTGTAGATTGATTGTTAATGAAGGAGAAGGTGGAATATATAAAGAATGTCGAATAGCTACAGAGTATGCAATGTCAAAAAAGTTGGCATATAGGTTAAGAGTTTTGTTAGGATTAATATGACAAAGTAATTTAGTAGCCAAGTTTGTAGAAATAAAGATGGTGCATTTGTTAGTAATTGTATTAGAGTTAAGATGGCATCCAGGACATATAGTAGTAGTAGAGTGAGGAGTAGGATAAGGGTTAGTAAACTGAGACTGGAATGAACAGTGCCAGTGAATAATAAGAGTAAGGCCTGTGGGGCTATTATGCTTTCTGGCTTTGCTAACAATAATTTGATTGTTGAGGATAGTAAGTAACCAGAGCTTGGTATTAGAGTTAAAGTAGTCAGTAATATAAAAAAAGTTGTTTGATTGGGGTAAATTAAAATGATCATATAATATATGTTAATAGGAATGACTTGTAGTAATATCCTCAAGAATGGTAAACTATTGAGATATAACATCTTTAGGAAGTTTGTTTAGTTTAGGAGAAATATAATGCCAATGTAATAAGTATAAATTATCATAGATGGTAGTTGGTTAAAAAAGAGAAGTTTGTGATATCTAAGTTGTTTTTTGAAAACAGGATATTTAGGGTAAGATGAAAGGAGAGATTTCAGAGAGATAGTTCCATCATGTAAAGTGTAAGGAATGTTATAAGTTGGATTAATTGAGAATGTCCAGCCAATATGTTTAATAAGCTATATAATTTTAAAGTTTGTAGTTAGACAATTAGGACCATCAATAATTGAGTTGGGATAAGAGAAAATGCTAATTGGGGACCAAAGATTGTTTTGTAATTGTTGAATTTGAATATGAGTAGATGTGCCTAATAGGTTAGAATTATTAAGTTGTTTAAGAATATTAGGAATATGGTGTTGTAATTGGATATTCCAAATATGTTTAATATTATAAATTTGTAGGTGTAAAAGGGTACTAGAAGGTATTGTACGACAAAGTTTGGCTTTGAGTTTGACAAGACCAATATGTTGAGTGAAAATTTTGTTGCAAGTTGATTGGTTGATTACAATATTTTGAAGTTGGTATTCAAGAGTAGGAATGATCACTGTATTAATAATATAGTGAGCATATAAGTCAGTAATATGTTTGGTTTTAGCGATTTGAATTAGTTCAGAAGATTCAGAGATAAGTAGGTTTGTTTGTTTAGATTGTTTGTTGTCTAAAGTGAACCAACAACCTAAAAATTTAAAAGATATTTTAAAAGAATATAGAGGAAGAAGATGGTTGTTATAAGAGATAGGTGTATAATGAGGTGGAGGATTGTTGGTGACCAGAATGGATTTTGAAGGATTGACTTAAATATTGGACATAGCATAAAAAGATTCAGCTATAGATAATATATGTGATAATTCAGATTGTGATGAAGCAATCCAAAGAGTATCATCCATATAAGTCAAAACAGTGCATTTTTTTTGTAATAAGTTAGATGTTTGAAGTTTAAGATTAGTAGTCTAGGAGGATTGTAATTTGTAACCAGGAGTATTTAAGTATATGTAGAAGTTAAGTGGATCATAGTAGATACACCATAGCAAAAGGGTAATAGTTTCACTTTGGTTAATGCCATTGTGAACTAAATAGGATGAAGTTAAGCCAAGATTAGTTATAACTTGATTGTGACAGTTAGTGAGAAGGTCAGAGAGAATGTTAATAGTAGATGAAGTAAGTGAGAGGCAAGAGAATGCATGTTTAAAAGAGTAAAGTTAACAGAATCATAAGCTTTACTCATATCTTGTAAAAGTAACCAAATGTCCTTGTAATTACAAGATGCATCTTCAATAAGGTTGTTAAGAATATGAATAGAAATTGAGATACTGTAGTGGGGAAGAGCAATATAATTAAAAGGTAAGAGATTAATATTAGTTTATTTAATATAATTTTTTATAAAATTCAATATAAAAAAAATTTACTATTGTTTATATATAATTTTAATATAATACTCTCTACTCTTAATTTAACTAATAATTAAAAGACAGTTTATTATAATATAAATATAATTTTTCAAATTTTAGTATAAATAAAATTTAAATACTAAATCTATTACTTAGAGTTAACAATTTACAAATTTTATTAAATTTTTATATCTCATAATTACAACTTTTATATATAATTTATTTATAAAAATTAAAACTTATATTAGAAATAAATTTTTTTTTTAGTATTAAAATAATTTTTTTGATTTTATGATTTTATTAATACTTTTGTCAAATATTATAATGAGCATACAACTGACTATATATATAACTTTTCTATATTAACTATTTGAGAAGTTTATTCAAAAATTTTCTATTAATTATTATATTTAATACTCTGTTTAGATATTCTATTTAAATCTTTTAATCTAAAACCCTTATACCAACTTCATTAAATTACTTATATTTAGATCCTTATCTCAATTTTAGAACTATTTTATCTTCAAGATAAACCTATTAGAATTTTTGTATTCTATATATAGCTAATCTAGTTTTTATATAACATGCTATAGTTATCTAATACTTGCAATTATGACTAATTTTAAATTGTTATATTATATTATTTTATTCTTATAAAGTTCATCTAAACTCTGATATCTATCTTTCTGACTTTTTCTTTTCATCTTTCTATTATTTAATTTAGAATCTGACAAACTTTTCAGACTTTCAATTCAAATAGTTTAGTATGGTATATCTTAATAACTTTTTCTTTTGACAATTCTGACAGCTTGGTTAATCATATGCTTCTTTATATATCTTTCTATCTGATTGCATTTGCCTATTTCTTATTAAGATTTTTTAGGCTTTTATTAGTCTAACAACATTGTTAAACATTTGTACTACCTTTTAACTTAGGAATTTCCAAGTAGGATTTTATTTTTTTGGTTTTTTAATCTTCTATATTTAATAACCTTATTATGAATTTGTACTGAAATCTTATACAATACTGGTTATTAATATTCTTCTATATATATATATAACATTACATTTTGTATAAATACTCTGAGCTTCCAATAACAAGTAAAACCTAATTGGTTATATTTAAAATTATAAATATCTAAATTTAACTAATTAACAAAAGATAGTTTTCTATAATACAGGTTAATTTTCAAATTTCATCATAGATGAAATTTGAACCTTAGACCTGCCACTTGAAGAATAACAACCCAACCACTATACTAGAATTACTATTTTCAAAATAAAAATTTTTTATATAAACAATATATAAAATTTAAAAAATTTTTTTTAAAAAATTTTAAAACAAAAACTTTAAATTTTTATTACACAAAATTTTTTTAATAATTTTCAAACTTTTTTTAATAAAGTTAATAAAATATTTATTAAATTATATTTTTTAAATAAAAAATATATAGTTAATATTTGAGATTTTATTAAACTTTAATTTTTTAAAAATTTAGCAAACAAATTTGTCTGCTAAACATATTAAAAGATAAACATACCCTACCTCTAACCCCGAACTAACACTAAACTTTAACTTTGTCAAAAACATATGATGCACAACGCTTTAAACGTTCCCTTTTTTGGAATGAAAAGGGTAAAAAAAGGTAATTCCGGCCAGAAATTAGTAAACAATTATGTAATGCGGGCCAAAATTTTGCAGATACACGGCCGTTAGTCAATCAAAATCGAGGATCTGCCGGGACGCGACAACAATGATGAAAACCCGTAAATCTAAAAATAGGTTACTTATGAAATTCATAAGTGATCTATTTTTAGATTTACGGGTTTTTCATCTGACAACACTCCTTTAATATCGCAAGTATATTCGCAGATCAGTATATTATAGACCAAATTTTAGAACCTATACCATATTGATCCGGTGTTATATATATTTAGCGTTAGGGTTAGGGAATTATAGTTTATCAATATAATATAGCTTTTACTTCTTTTTAATTTTGCCCTACGTATACTATACTGATCTGCTATAATTTCTATTGTAAGGGTCCATTGTTTTTAAAACTGAACGATCTATATTCGATTCAATCATAATTTTTATACATTTAATTTTAACCCGAATTATTTTTTTCTGTTTACGCCGTTAAGTATGATACATAGAAGCGTAATTAGAATAATAATAAATCCAGAGAGATATATATATACCAAAATAGATTGATATGCAATAATAAATGAATATCGATCAAAAAGGTCGATCAAAAAAGATTAATCAAATACGAATATGAAATTGAGATGATAAAATCTACAACTAGTTTGAAATAATAACTATAACTAAATGAAGTATAAAAAAATTTTTTTAAAATATAGTTATCATTTAATACCAAAAACTTATTTTTGATGTATATAATAAATTGTAAATGTAATGTAAGGAATATATATATATATATATATAATTTTTGCGAGAATTTCACCGCTTTACTTTGCCATTCTCGTATTAGTCGTCATCAACATGTACAGATGCCGTACAAAAAATTGAAAATTGTGATAGATTAAAATTTTGAAATCGAAGAAGTCAAAATGAAAAAATTTACAAATATCTTAATCAGACACAAAATCTATTTTTGATGTACAACAGATACACGTTTCATACAAACTTTTCACCACGATCTAAAATAGTCACTAGACCAGTAATGACTTTAGCCATACTATCACCGAATAGTCCCTTATTCATACCAGATTTGCCACCTAAATGCTCAAATTCGGCTTTCATTGAATTGTCAATTAATAGTGGTATCTTTAGCGTTATTCGAGCAAGTTGGATGGTCAATCGCAGACGACCAAATACATCAAAGTATGAAAGAGCGCGAAGTTGTTGCTGAATCTCGTATAGACGGATTAATTCAAATTGAACAATTTTAACGTATTTTTTACCAGCTAACATAATACAAATAGTTTATATATAAAAGAAAAATAAAATATATTATGAATGAATTATTTTATAAATGAATAAATGAGCTTTATTTATATAATGCATAATGAAAGAAAACATATAAGTACCTAAAAGTAACTCTCTCATTCGTCGGAAAGCAGTTTCCAAAGTCTCGATAGCATCTTCACCTAAGTTGAGACCAGGGTTACCTTCATTTAGGGCATCTAAATAGAAATTGAAGATAAAGAGGTTAACAATTAATAAAAATAACCATTTTTATTTATATAAAAATTAAAAATAGAGAATCAATTAACAACACACACATATATATATATATATATTACTTACTGACTAAAGCCCTGATCATTTCAAAGTCACCATCCATGAATTCCAAAAATAGCTATTTCAAACAAATGAGATTAAATTAGTCAAAAGTTAAAATTGTATAAAGATAAAATATTAGAATAAGATTAATCATAAATACTTGATATAAAACACCGTGTAACGTTTCGTCACCAGAACCATTGACACTACCTAAATCACTAGTTCCTGATATATCATAAGCGCGACGTGTTGATGGTTTATTCAACGTTTCATAAGCATATGCCAATTCTGAAACAACGAACAAAAAGTAGAGATTAAGGGGAGGTTAGAAAACAATATAAACAAGAAAATAAAAGTAACAAAGAGCATACTTTGAAATGCTTCAGTCGCTTTTGGATATTCAGGAAATTTGTCAGGATGACAAATCCGGGACCTCTAAATAAATTGAAATTTATATAATTTATATTAAAACTTAAGACCACAGTATATAAAAATTTCTATATCTATTAAAATAACAAGCCTTTTTCCATGAGTATAATTTCATGTAAAAGACATTGTGGATGAAAGACTTACACTAATGTAAGCTTTTCTAAGTTCATCTGAGTTACAGTTTCGATCAACACCGATTATAGTATATAAATTTGTTTCAGCACAAATGTCATCTACTATTTTATGTCTATAATCATTATCGATGACTTTTCTGTTACTAGGGGTTTTGTTTGAAGAGTTATTGGAGTTAAGAGAATTCATAGTGGCAGCAACGTAAGCAGAGGCTGTTGTAGGATGAGTATGAAAAGTTGAGTATGCAGCTGGAGGCATTTTTTGTGATTTTGAATAACGTGCTTTCTGGGAAGAGGATTTTTTATTTGAATGTTGTTTATTATATTGGTGATAATGGAAGTGTTGTTGTTTATTAAAATTCTTCTGCTGGTAAAAGTTGAGATGTGGCTTAACGTGATTGTGATTACTGCAATAAGAGGAATTGGAGAAGGAATCTCTGGGAGATTTTGTAGGTATTTGAGCAGTCTTTGTCTGCCTAGCTTGTTTAAATTCAGTGACACCAAACACTAAGTTCGAAACAAAGTTATAAACAAACATTTGAAACGAGGGAGAGAGATGGAAGTAGTTTTTAGATTTTTTAGATTTATTAAGGCAAAAAGTCCGTAATATCTACCCAAGCAAAATATAGAGAAAAAAGACAAAAGGAAAATATAGATACATACGGAGTTAGTTAATATTATAAGCTTTATCGATAAGCCAAAATTTGAATAAATTAATAGGAAGGAATAAGATATTATGTAAAATTAAGCAAATAATAAGAAAAATATAAGAATAAGAAAATAATAAAAAATGATAAGGCGTATAAGAGGTTTTTTTAATATAAGACCAGCAGTAATACAATGCTGCAACCCGATCATAAAAAAAGCAAGAGGAAATGAAAAAGCAAAGAAAGTGAGTTATAGTCAAACGCCCTTTCTTACATTTTAGTTCCTCCTGCCTCTTTATTTTTTTTTTCTCGTAAGCACGAGGAAATGTATAATGGTGTAAATAACAGGGTCTTACCGTAATATATAAAAGGAAAATAAATGAGATTTAATCGGTATATGGAAAAGATAGGCTTTAAGTATATAAATATCTTTGGATTTGATTATTCTTTTGCTGGTAAAAAAGAAAGATGAATTCACATGTCAGTCTGTGAATTTAAGAAAACATTCCAGTTCTTTGGTGCACTGTACGAAAACGTCATAGGTCAATTACGACTAGCATATGATACTAATGGGGGTTTGTTCCTTGAGTTTTTCCATCGCTTACGGTTTCATTATTACCGTTACCGTATTACAAAATTTAACAATAACGATGACCATCATTCACCAAATGTTTCTTTTATAAACAGAAGAGGAAAAATCATTAACTCACTTTAATAGAAATGAATCGTGGTTTGTGTTTTTAATCAACTCGGGATGTCATAAATTTATCTCAAATTATGTCATAAAATTTTTATCATAAAATAACTACGTAGTTTAATAATGGTGCGTTAATGTTAATGAAGATGTAATCGAATTGATTAATTTTTTGTCCTTTTTTTTTTTTTTTTTTAAAAAAAAAAAAAAGACAAAGTTTTTTTTCCTAAAGGAATGAGCATGTATGTTTGTAGATAAAAAGTTTTTATATAAGTTTCTCAATGACTAATATTTAATTAATATTTGAAGTCAATAACGATAACGATAATAATGCTAAAGTAATTTTTGTCTCTTTTAGGCTTTTGAATTGCAATGCACAGAATACCTAGATGATTGTTCAAGGTGCGTCATAGTAAACAATTCTATTCAAATTATTATGGTAACAGTTTTTTTTTTTCCAAACAAATATCGAAAAGAAAAACATCTATTAAACTATAATCGTGTATTTGATATCATATCTCTCAAAGAAAGGCATCAGATAATAAGATGCGTATGTCAAAAATGTATATGTACTCCACATCCTTGTCAAAATTTTTTTAAAACAAAAAATCGAGTTAATATATGGTTATATGATGTGTAAATACTATCACAATGTTTATATTGTTAATCCTTCTCGTCTGGCGAAATCTTAAGGTTGTTTTGCATTAATTAATAACGATAATATATATTTTTTACAATGGTTAAATAGTGACAATTGTGTAGAATATCACTTCATATGGGTTCTTGTACAAACTTTAATTAATGAATAACCCCAAATATTGTGGAGTATGCTATTACACGGAATATATCTAAAGCAAATTTGTTCACTGAACTGCTAATTGGTGGCTAATTGTGGCTAATATTCTTAAATAATCATGATGTTCGTTACTACATATCTCTATTGCTATATTCTGATTGATTTAATCTATACTTTATTGACTTCATTGCATATCATCTGATCCTATATTTTAGGTATCCAAGGTTCAATTAAGGAATCTATAATAAAAACTAATAAAGACTTATAGATTCTATAAAAATTATAATTGAAAATCTAATAAGTAACTATATAATAACTAAAAATATTCTAAACTAAAAATATTCTAAAGTAGCTACGTATCTCTTTTCTACCCCACAATTGATCACCACTACATACGTATCGTAATTATAAAACAAAAATTTTATCATGTAATACGTATACGTATATGTAGTATAGCGAGGAATAAATCAGAATTAATATATAGAAGGGTTATTTTAACTATCACGTGAGCGGTCAAGAAGATGGAAGTTCTAGTGCTAGGTTATTTTAACCCGTTCAATGTTACATGGATTGTCACATGTTATTTAGTCAATCAAATCGTAAGTTTTAAAATAATGCAAATAGAAACACATACGCATTAAATTTTTTTTCTGCGAAGTGAGTAACATAACATTGTTCTGTTTATTTATTACTGTATTAACAGTTAACTAATGACGAACTAACTTCTATTATTATCGTATTACCTATAGGAAGCTATCGTATAATCTAAAACCCAAATATCTTGCATGATTTCCCTAACTAAGACTATCATTTTAACGTATGTTTTAAATTTTATATTATGTCTCAACTTAGACATTCTTTATATTTGTTCGCATTTTTATCCTATATTAAAAATTGTACGAAAATATATAGTTATTATTAGGGCCGGGCTAAACCTGCGGGTTTCAGGGTCGGGCCGGGTTTAAATTTTCCAGTTGTTATCATTATTTCTGGGACGCCTTATGAAAAATTACCCGAATGATTGTTCAGCCGATTCGATTTCGGCATGATCAATGTAACGTTTATATTTTACGAAGTTAGTCTAAAACTATATACGTACAGTATCCTCAAAAATTTTGCGTTTAATTGAGTACTTTTAGCAGTGTTGTCACTTGGAAGATTACTGAAAATAAATTAATAGTGTCACCGGAACTTAAAGTTTCAGTGATATTATTGATTTACTTCCAGTGACCTTCCAAGTAACAACACTGCTTTTAGGCACGGTTGTAGTGAAAGATAAATGTTTTGTTTTTTTCTTCTTTATATATTGGTAATAAAAATGTTTAGCAATTATTCGACTTATAACCTATTATTTGGTTGGTTTTTCATAAGGTGTCCCGGGAATAATGATAATAGCTGTAAAGTTTTGTTTATAAAGTAGGCCAATTCGGAAAAAATGGTGAAATATACGAATTTCCTTATGTCAACAAAAAGATATAGGTCGTAATCAGTGTTGTCAATTTCTTGTTCTATTGATAAAAACTATATTCTATTTTAATTTCTATTGCTCTATTCTATTGTTCTATTTATTGTTGCTATATTAATATCTAATTATAATCTTGTTGGCAATTTTTTGTTCTATTGACAAAAATTTTATTCTATTCTAAATTCTATTGCTCTATTCTATTGTTCTATTCATCTATTGCTGCCAACACTGGTCGTAATATATCAAAAATTCTCTATATATTTAACATTAACAATCGTGTCTTATAAGTAAAATTTCATTCTGAAAACTTTTACTTAGAGGTCGGAAGTTAGTCATCATAGTAAATTTTTGTGTTATTTACATTTTTTTACAATTTCTTATGTTTTTCGCGATTGTTTTGTCACACGAGATACTGTGATTTTATTGGATCCGGATAGGACGTGATTTAATGCACAGCAAATAGCCAGCATTAAACTAATCAACTGGCTGGGATAAAATCACCACCCTAAAAAGTTTCAAGACCAATCAGAAAAATTCAAAACAAACGTTCGTCTATTAAAACTGTCTTCTGCGCATTAATTAAAAGTTTTACTTGTAAAATTTTGCTATAGTAAATTATTTTAGACACCAATCTAATGGCAAAATCCTAATCCTACCCTAAAAAAAACGAAATTTTACTTGAAACTTTTTTTGGTGGCGATTCTACTCTTGTCGGAATTATACCGACACAGCATACACGTGACTAATTCCGCTATACCCTAACTCTAATGCCGGCCATGCTGTGTCAATTAGTTCACAAGGGTAGAATCGCCACCCAAAAAACTTTCGAAGATCACGTGAACTATGATTATCATGCAGTACCGCAGTGTTAAATGTCTATTTGTCTGTTATTTTATATATTTATTTTAATACGTGTAAATATATAAATTTCTTTTCTTCTTTTTTTCAAATAATGAAGTGTAATCGTTGTAATCATAACAAACCAAATGAAGTTTTTAAAAGTTCTAAAGCTAATAAACAAAAAAATTTCAATAATAAATTTAAAAAAACATGTGTTGATTGTTGTGTTCAAGTTTTTGTAAACAATAAATAAAAATATATTAAAAAACAAAATGAAAATATAGCAATAAATCAAAAAATGTAATAGTACCAGAATATATCGTAAATTTTATTTTTAATAATCTTTTAAGTAATTATAATATTAACAACTATTTATTTGAAAAAAGATTCTTTATTGTTTTGAAATTATTAATAGATATTGATAATTTAACTTCTGATGATTATATAAATAAAAATATTATGCAATATATAATTAACCTTATTTTAAAGACATAATTGTTTCTGGATTTATCATAAATAGAATGTAACAATAATATTAACTATATTTGTTTATTATTACAAAATTAAAAAATAAAAAATTACAAATTGCTAAAATTTTAAGTAAGCAAAACACATTATCAAAAATTAATTAATATTTATATAATAATACAATTTGGATTAATATAAATTGATCTTATAATTTGATAAGAATAAGCATCTATTATTATCTTTATCTATTATCTAAAACATTAAAATTTTTTTTTAAATTTATAATTATATTATTAATAATATTTTATTAACAATTTTACAATTTTACAATAATATTAAAAAATAACAACTTGATGAATTTTTATATGTTACTTGATATCAAGTTTATTATTAGTTCAAAAAAGTTACAATAAAAGAATATAGATTTGTCAATAATTAATTAGCATTAATTAGACAATATTTAGAAAATAATTCATAATTAAACTTCTTTTTTAAAATTAAAATTATTAGTTTTTTTAATCTTTTTGCTATTTATATTGTTAAATAATATTAGAAATTTTTTTTATAAAAATTAATTGATATATAGCATATAATTAATATATATTATTTGCAAATTAACAATATATAT